GCCCTCTGTGGTGTTGCTCCCCATTCTTTCTCTGCCTCCCCTTTTGCTCCTCATCCCCTAGTTCTTACCATTCCAGCCACACTGGCCTCCCAGCTATTCCTCCAACACAATAAGCACCGTCCTAACCCTGAGCCTTTGCTATTCTCTGCTACTTTCCCTGCCCCTCCCACTTCAGCACGGCCGGCTCCTTCCCTTCCTTCAGTCTTCACTCAAAAATCACTGCTCAGTGAGCCCTCTCCAGCTTCCCTATCTACAATTTCATACTCCCCAAACAGTTTCACCCTCCCTGCTTAATTTTTTTCTTATTAGCATCTGATTGCTATCTAACATGTAGACTGTACTTCTTTTTATTTTGTCATTCTCCCCTCCTGGAATGGATGCACCGTGAGGACGGTGTTTTGTGAGCATGTGTGTATGTCTATTTTGTGCCTGGAACACAAGGGGTACTTAATATGTTTTTGCTGAATGAACAAATGAATATGTCAAGCCTCATCATGACTCTGAGCTGAGCAAGCTGAGCATCATCCCCCTCTTACAGATGAGGAGACTAGGCTCTGTGAGCTTATCAAATGGAAAGCCAGGTCAATTCCAGATCTCCCAATGTCATGAACTTTATATTTTTCCCTTTACCAGTAATACTCTTAGACTTGGTCAGTGGAGAGCCTACCTTGGGCCTCAAATTTCAGAGCACGCTTCTCTGGCTGTACCCCTTACCAGTAAGCAGGATACAGGGGCTGCCTAGAGTTTGCACTGCCTCCTCTAGATCATGTTCCAAGTTCACAGGACTCTGGAGTTCCGTGCCCAGATGGTCCTGAGCCTGCTGACAAGACCAACATTGGTTTCTTCCCAGGCTGCTTCTACTCAACCTGGGCCTGCAGGATGGGCACAGCATGGTTGTTTATAGAATACATGGGTAGAATTTGAAAATTGGGCTGCGAGGATCCACCCACATGTGTACAAGGCCCTTGGTGATATAAGATGGAGTTAGGAGCAGAAGAGAAGTGGTACAGGTAAGAAGTGTGAGAATATGAGCATAAGAAATGAAATTAAAATCTCAATGGTTACGTTAAACATTAAGTTAGATGCAGCAGAAAAGAGAAGCACTGAGATAAATTTAGATTTAGAGAGAAATCTAAAGTAATTATCTGGAATGCAACACAGAGAGACTAAGATATAAAAAATCCAAGTAAGAGTTCAAAACAAAACAAAACAAAACATGAACATCAGGTGTGGTGGCTTACACCTGTAATCCCAGCTACTTGGGAGGCTTGAGTCCAGGGTTAAAGACCAGCCTGGGCAACATAGCCAGATCCCATCTCCATTAAAAAAATTAGCTGATCAAGGTGGTACAGGTCTGTATTCCTAGCTATTCAGGAGGTTAAGGTGGGGAGAATGCCTTGAGCCCAGGATTTTGAGACTGCTGTGAGCTATGATTGTGCCATTGCACTCCAGCCTGGGTGACAGAGCAAGACCTGGTTTTTAAAAAAAAAAAAAAAAAAGAAAAGAAAAAGAGGCTGGGCATGGTGGCTTATGTCTGTAATGTAATCCCAGCACTTTGGGAGGCTGAGGCAGGCGGATCATGAGGTCAGGAGTTCGAGACCATCCTGGCCAACATGGTGAAACCCCGTCTCTACTAAAAATACAAAAATCAGCCAGGCATGGTGGCAGGTGCCTGTAATACTAGCTACTCGGGAGGCTGAGGCAGGAGAATCGCTTGAACCCGGGAGGTGGAGGTTGCAGTGAGCTGAGGTTGTGCCACTGCACTCCAGCCTGGGCAACAGAGTGAGACTCCATCTCAAAGAAAAGAAAAGAAAAGAAACAAAGAAAAAAACCATGGAGTATGGAGTTGAGATGGTTTGGAATTCCAGAAGGAGATAACAGAACAAAAAAGATACCTGTCCTTAGATCCAGGAATCTCAAAGAATCCCTAGGAGGATAAAAAATGAAAAAAAAAAAAACCAACAAAAAACCCACTATACTCTGTGTGTGTGTGTATATATATATACACACACATATGTATATATACATGTATATGGTGTATATACAAACACATACATATATGGTATGTGTATATATATACACACATACCATAGACAGAGAAGATATTAAACATCCAGAAAAAAAGATCATCTATAAACAGACGATGGTGATAAGCTAATTTTTTAACCATGGCAACAAAACAGAAGCCAAAAAACCACAATGGAATATGATCTATAATGTGCTGATAAAAACTATATACCTGTTGTAACAATCTTTCAGAAGTGAGGATAAAATAAAGTCATTTTCAGACCAAAACTGGGAGAGTTTATCAACATATTATCAGTAAATACAGAAGGAAAATGATCCCAGCAGGAATATCTGATTTGCAAAGAGTAATGGTGGGCAAAGAGTTTAGTAAGTATGGGAGCAAATATAATGTTATCTGCATAAAACCATAATTTAATTAATATTGGAAAGTCATATGTTCTTTTTTGTTTTCATTTTTGTTTTTGAAACAGGGTCTTGCTCTGTTGCCCAGGCTGGAGTGCCTTACCCTCCCAAGTAGCTGGACCACAGGTATCTGCCGCCACGTGTGGCTAATTTTTAAATTTTTTGTAGAGATGGAGTCTCTTCATGTTGCCGAGGCTGGCCTTGAACTCCTGGGCTCAAGCAATCCTTCCACTTTAGCCTCCCCAAGTGCTGGGATTACAGGTGCAAGCCACCATGGCTGGCCAGTCATATAATCTTTTATAAAACTCAGAATATGCAGCAATAAAATTTTGTATTTTTGGGGGGGCAGGGGATAAAGCACAGCAAATTAGAAAAAGAAAAGAATTTCCTTAACCTGATAAGGGACATTAACAAATGCCTACTGCAAACATCCTTCTTTCTAAGGAAATGTTAAAAAAATTCTCTTTAAGGTCAGAAACATGCAACAGGATGTCCATTTTTATTGCCCTTATTCAACACTGTCTGGAAGTGGTTACCAGCACAGGTTACACAAGAAAAAGAAAGAAAACCATCGATATTTGTAGATAATATGATAGTCTGTGTAGAAATCCCTGCATAATCTATAGATAAATCATTAGAATTAATAATAATTTACCAAATATGCTGGAAATAAACATAAATAAATAAAAATCAAAGGTATTTAATAGTTATTCCAAAAGAATATTATGTGGTTGATAAATTTGACTTTATTAAAACTAAGAATTTTCGTCCACCAAAAGATACTGTAAGGAGGGAGAAAATGCCCCAAACTTATTTGCAAGACATATATCTGACAAATTATTGGTATACAGAATAAATTGTGCATGGAAATCAATAAAATTACCCAAAAATGTCCTGTCCAAAAAACTATAAAAAACAAGTAAAAGACTTGAACAAGGCATTTAACATATGACCAAATAGGAATAGCCCATAAACACGTAAACAGATACTCATCATCATTAATGATAGAGAAATGCAAACGAAAACCACAATTCCTTTTCTCAACCACTAGATTAGCAAAAAATTAGGAAGTTGGAAAATACCAAGGGTTGGCATGGTTGGTGAGGAATGAGAACTCTTATGCACTCCTGGTAAGAGTGTAAATTGGTATTATCATATTGCTTAGTAATTTTAGTCCTGTCTGTGTGCCCTAGAGACTCTGCACAAATAGATGAATGTATATGCAAGCAAGAATGTTCATAGTAGTATAGTTTGTAATAGAAAATGGCTGTTATTTCCAAAATGTCCCTCAACACTAGAATGAATACATATATTTGAGACATTACATTTATACGAGGGAACACTGCATAGCAATAAAATGAACTTGGTTGTATGTATCAAGATGCATGAATCTCAAAAGCATGATATTGAACCGATGCAGCAAGACACAGAATACAGGGCGAAACACTAGAACTGGTAATATTCTATTTCCTATGCTGGGTGGCTGGGTTCACAGATCTACATTCCATTGTAATTCTTCAAATATTACACATACATAGGGTACATTCTTTTGTATGTATATGTTACAATAGAAGGTGTCGATGCAACCAAGAATGGGAAAATGGATTCTGTGGTTGAAATCATTCACATCATCAACAGGACCAATATGAATAAAAATAAGGGCTGTAATATTATACAAATGGTTATTTGTGACTTGGGATGAAGTTTAGAGTGTCTTCATCATACATGATTCAAAAGGTGATGTAATGAAGGTGGTGTGCTCAGGAAAACTGTGTTAGACAACTCAAAAAGTGGCTCTGGTGATGACAAAGACAATGATACTGAAGATACGAAAAGAGGGATATTTTCATGAAAATATCAAAATATCATAAAACATTTTCATGAAATTACAGTGAAAAAAGTACTTTTAAATTAACATTTTACATGTGATTTTAACTACGCACATGTGACTGATTAATCTAGTTTCATAATACAAGTTGCCATTTATTTCCTCTACATTTATAAAACTGCATATATATTCAAATTGGCCAAAATCTTTCTTTCCAGTCATCATGTTGGGATTATGGGGTTATATGTGGCACATACCATTCCTGTATATGTTAGAATGGAAAGAGTTTTACCTGGAATGAATTTTTGCCATTTCTGATCCACATTGTACTTCACACAGTAATTTCCTGAAGGAAATATAATGATCTGTTCATCGAAGTAGCAGATATTGTTGGCCACGTGGGATCGAAGACCAAAAACATGCAGCGACTGAGCTACCACGGCTGACATGGTTTCGCGCCAAAGAGCTCTGCTGAAGATCGGGGCAGCGCTTGAGAGTGGAGAGAATCGCCAAGCCTTGGCCCCGCCCCCTGCCGGGACAAGACCCGGCCTCCAGGACACGCCCCTTCCCGCCCTTGCCCCTCCCCTTCCCCGCCCCCGGGTTCTCCTCCAAGCCACCCCTGCCCCGCGGCTCCTTTTTCTCCCATTTCCTTGTACGCTCACTGCTACCAGCTCCTTCTGGCGACCCCCAGGTACCCCCTCCTACCTTTAGCTTCTCCCTGGGTCAGCAGACCAGGTATCCAGAGGCGCTACCTGTACGGATCCCAAGCGACCCGGGCACGTTCAAACGCCTTAGCGGTTCCTATAGCAACGACGAACCGGAAGTATGGTCTGCCGCCGGAAGCGGAAGTCCCAATCAAAGAGTTGAGCAGTAGCTTTGAGTTGCTGGCGCTGGTGCGACTTGGTGGCACGTGGATCCAAGGCGTGGGAGTAGGGGGCTGAAGGCAGGCAGCAGCGGCCAGGGCCGCCCTCTGCTAGCGGCTTGGGTCTCGGGATACCCGGCTTCTTCCCGTAGGTGTGGGACGGGCGTGCGGCTAGATGGACACTCCCCCGCTCTCGGGTTCGGAGTCGGAGTCCGATGATTCCCTAGTCACAGACAGAGAGGTAGGTGTCAGCGGAGCTCGCGGTGGGTGGGCATGGGAGAGGGGGCCTTACCCCCCTGGTGGTGACCGTGATTGTGTCCTGCAGTTGCAGGATGCGTTTTCCCGAGGGCTTCTGAAGCCAGGCCTCAATGTCGTGCTAGAGGGGCCGAAGAAGGCCGTGAACGATGTGGTGAGCTGGGGCGCTGGGTACTCGGACATGGGATGCGCACCAAGCGCTGTTGGGCTTAGGAGACCGATTCCTGTCCCAGGAAAGACACACCTGCACCTTGCCAAGAGGGTCAATTACCTGTCTGGGTATTAGGAATTAGTGGTTTGTTCCTTGGCCTAGCACCCTGTGCTTGTGAAAGACAAACTCAAGTGTTTCCCTTCTTACGAGTTCAGTGTCTGGATTTCCTAGAATGGCCTGAAGCAGTGTTTGGCAGAGTTCAAGCGGGATCTGGAATGGGTTGAAAGGCTCGATGTGACACTGGGTCCGGTGCCGGAGATCGGTGGATCTGAGGCGCCAACACCTCAGAACAAGGACCAGAAAGCTGTTGATCCAGAAGACGACTTCCAGCGGGAGATGAGTTTGTATGTTTGTTTTCAAATATTGGAGAAGTTGAATATTCTTATGCAGGAGAGTGAGAAAGAGGAGAAATTAATAAGCCTGCACTCAGAATAGGCAGAGGAGTAGGCAGAACGGCTTCTTTTGATTCAGAATAGCTAGGAGATTCTTCCTGTTTGAGAAAAGAGCTCCTTGGTCCATGGTCACGATTCAAAGTCCAGTTTATGGGCTAATTTGAAATATTCATGTTAAAGCTTTTTGTGCATGCTTCAGTTACTAGAAAAAAAAAAAAACCATTGCTTATGGGATGTTCTTGTGTGGAATTGCTTTAGTAATTACATTAAGAATCCGTAATTGACATTAGTTTGTGTTAATGGGTACCTTTAGTCATTCTCTAAAACTAATTTATTTTTAGCAACATTCCTCCCCTTTTTAAAAAATGGAATATGACTACATTTCTTTCTTTCTTTCTTTCTTTCTCTTTCTTTCTTTCTTTCTTTCTTTCTTTCTTTCTTTCTTTCTTTCTTTCTTTCTTTCTTTCTTTCTTTTCTTTCTTTCCTTCCTTCCTTCCTTCTGTCCTTCCTTCCTTCCTTCTTTCCTTCCTTCCTTCTCCTTCCTTCCTTCCTTCCTTCTCTCTCTCTCTCTTTCTCTCTCTCTCTCTTTCTTTCTTTCTCTCACTCTGTTGCCCAGCCTGGAGTGCAGTGGTGTAATCTTCGCTCACTGCAACCTCTGCCTCCCAGGTTCAAGCAATTCTTCTGCCTCAGCCTCCTGCGTAGCTGGGATTACAGGTGCCCACCACCACGCCTGGCAAATTTTCGTATTTTTAGCGGGAACGGGGTTTCACCATGTTGGTCAGGTTTGTTTCTAACTCCTGACCTTGTCATTCACCCGCCTCAGCCTCCCAAAGTGCTGGGATCACAGACATGAGCCACCGTGCCTGGCCTACATTTCTTTTAGATACTAAATTAGTGAAGTTTGGTTACAGTTTTTGTTTGTTCTTGCTGATGGAGGTTAGATTTTGAGAGTCCGGTGAAAAGGAATGTAAGGCCTCTCTCCTTTACTTCATTATGCATTTTGTCCTGCAACTCTCAGCTACCGCCAAGCCCAGGCCGCAGTGCTTGCAGTCTTACCCCGCCTCCATCAGCTCAAAGTTCCTACCAAGCGGCCTAGTGATTATTTTGCAGAAATGGCCAAGTCTGATCTGCAGATGCAGAAGGTAAGAAATAGAAATGTTCATCTAGAAAGCCAAAACTGTGTACTTAAGCATATTCAGCTGGCTTAGAAAGATAGGTATGAGTCCAATAATGGGGAGCCAGTTGTCAGAGGACAATTATTACCTCTTCCAGAGATGGGCTACTTCAGAGTCATACCAGTCACCACCAATTAGATGCATATAAGAATGACATTTTTTCTAAATCAGCAATTAAGGAGAGGAACAGTACTGTGAGAAGTGTGGTTCCTGAGGTAAAGATGGCGCATTGCATTTCCTAGCTGGCATGGTCACGGGATGGTGTGCAGAGAAGACAGCATTCTTGTTGTGCCCTTGCCACTGGCAGTGCTAGAACTTGTAGACAGTTACTTTTCTCTGGGCCTCAGTTTTCTCCTCTATAAAATGAGGGATTCTTAGATGCTCAGATGTAGTACAGTGAAGAGTTGGGTAGAATTTGGACCTCATTTAACTTTGGAGGAGGGGATTGCCAGCATGTAATCCAAGATACACTCGGCCCTCAGTAGCCATGGGTTTGCATCTGTGGATTCAACCAAACTCGGATCAAAAATACTTGGGAAAAAAAAATCGAAAATGTTGCAAAAAGAAAACTTGAATTTGCCATGTGCTGAGAACTACATTGAATCCATGAGAATGAGGTGATGTGTAGCATTGTATTCGGTATTATAAGTAATCTAGAGACTATTTAAAGCAAAGCCTGGCAACTAAGGACTGGTTTTGTGGATGAAACCGATCTGGGGGAGGGGATGGTTTCAGGATGAAACTGTTCCACCTTAGATCATCAGGCATTAGATTCTCATAAGGAGCACGCAACCTAGATCGCTTGCATACACAGTTCACATTAGAGGTCATGCTCTTATGGGAATGTAATGCTGCCACTGATATGGCAGGAGGTGGAGCTCAGGTGGTAACGCGTGCTTGCCCACCACTCACTTGCTCTGGTGTGGCCCGGTTCCTAACAGGCCACAGATTCATAGCACATTCATAGCAGTCTGTGGCCCGGGGATTGAGGTCCCCTGATTTAAAGTATACTGGAGGTAAGTGTAGGTTATATGCAAATGCTACACCATTTCTATATAAGGGACTTGAGCATCTGTAAATTTTGTTGTCTGTAGTGGGTCCTGGAACTAATCCTCTACGGATACTGAGGGATGACTGTTTTTAAATAGTACCATTGGGTCTCATGCTGGATTTTAGAGAGCTTTTGTCTTGGTAGTAGTTCACCATCTCACTGTGAACTCTGTACTCGTTCTCACTGACAGCTTCTCATCCTTTCACTAAAATGTGTATGTTTGACTGAAAAGGCTAGGTACCTGATAATCTGCCTGGGTTTTTATTGTATATGTGGTACACCACAGAAGAGCGGCTGCATACTGGTTTCCAGCCTCAATCTACTAACAGTAGAAATGGGGAGAAATTTGTCTTCTTTCCTGGACTTCAAATAGGCAGTTTGTATAATGAAACAGACAGCACACTGGGAGTGGGAAGGTGATTTTCCATCTCTGGCTTCACTGTGACACTTTTGGTAAAGTGTTCAGTCTTTGGGCCCCGTTGTCCTCAGGGGTTGGAATCGATGATTTACAAGTTCCACAGTTTAAAGATTAGGGAATATCTGTTCCCTGCTCTAGTGCATCCTAAGCAGTGGTCATTCCAGATTCAAATACCATAAACTGACAGCATTTTGTGTTGTAGATTCGACAGAAGCTGCAGACCAAACAGGCAGCCATGGAGAAGTCTGAAAAGGCTAAGCAGCTGCGAGCACTTAGGAAATACGGGAAGAAGGTGAGAAGGAAAGTGTGCAGGGAGCAGGAAGAGGCGGAGTGTGTGTGTTAGATGAGATTGCCGTGCTCTGACTTGGTCCCCTGAACTGAACTGTGTGTTGATCATGTGTTTACCGTCTCTCAGTTTATGTGCTGGTATTCATGAGCACAATCTTGCCTGGACATGAGTGCTTCACCAGGAGTAGCATGGTGACTGCAGGCGAGCCATTCACCTCTCTGGGCTTTAATTTTCACCTCTATACACTGGTTCCAGATGAGTGGTTTCCAAACCTGACCTTACAGCAAAATCACCAGGGCAAGTTTTTCAAAACAGAATTCTAGACTTCAGAATCCCTGGGAGTCTGTGCATGTTTCCCCCTCTTCCCCGAAAGCTTTCCAGGTGATTCTGAAATGCATCCTGGTTTGGGATTCACTGGCCTGTGTGATAATCATGTCCCTGAAGAAGTAATGATTGTCACCCAATCTGAAAGATTGCCTGTGTGTTTGAACTAAGAATGTCTGAGTTCTAATGTAACATCAGATCAGGCATACTTTTCTTGGTTTTCCTTTTTTATTTCATGGTCATCTAAGAAAGAAGCTGATGGGTTTTAAAGTTAGAATTATGGGAAGAAATGAATGTGAGGAACATTGGCCTGGGTGTTGAGACTTTGTCAACATTCAGACATAAGCACTTGTGATCTGGGCTGCAGAACTCTTGTCCACATGTGGGGTCGTTTCACTGATACATTCTGAGCAAAGTAAGAATAGGCCGGGATCCTGTCCTCTACAAAAGGCCTGCTACGGTTTTATTATTTCTTTGATCTGGAGGTGGATGGCTGAGGTTATCTCAAAGACATCAGCAATTAATTTAACCTAACCAAAGTTATTAAAAGCAAAGACAAACTCACTTGGGCCTATTAGTTCACTGTTTCTAATTTGAGGAAACATTGGGGAAGAGATTGTCAGCTGGGGTGAATTTGCTCCCCAGAAGCTTTTTGTGACTGCCTGGAGATATGTTTAATTGTCAAATTTGGGAGGGAGGGTGCTACTGGCATCTACAGGTAGAGGGCAAGGGTGCTGCTGAATGTCCTACAGTGCAGGACAGGCCCCTCCCCCCAGCAATCTGTCCACAGTGTAGCAGTATCAAGATTGAGAAACTCTGTTAAAGTGTCTCCTTTTATCCTTAAAACCTTCTTCTTTTCTTTACCTGGGGACAATTGTTTTTTTTTCTCTTCCTTTGGTACTTTCATGCCTAGTAACAGTGAGTTAGATAGTTAATCTGTCCAAATATGATGGGAAAAATTGGATGTTGGCTTAAACATAATTTGCTGCAGTTTTGTAGGCAGGATTGTATAATAGGGTGAGTGCTGGCTTTGGAGGCAGACAGCCCGGGTCATCTCAGCTGTGCACTTTTTCACTATGCAACTTGGGCAAGTTAACTTCTCTGTGCTTCAGTTTAGGGGATAACACAAATTTCAACTTCACTGGATTGTTATGAGATAGATATATCTTCGTCTATGAAGAATATACCTAGATCTGAGAATATACTTAGAGCCCTTAACATAGTTTTTGGCACATAGTAAATGTCAAAGAGTAGCAGTATTAATCATGGTGTTGCTATTAAGAGAATGTAGACACTGGAGTAATGGTGTGGAATGGCTGTAACTGTCCTTGTGTTCATATCACAGGTGCAAACAGAGGTTCTTCAGAAGAGGCAACAGGAGAAAGCACATATGATGAATGCTATTAAGAAATATCAGAAAGGTTGGTACCTCGCTCTGCTAGGGGAACAAGGGTAGCAGGTATTTGAGAGTTGATCTGAACACTTAGTGCTTTGGAGCCTTCTTCGTTCATGTGGACCTATTGGATCTAAGTTTTGGGAATGGTGTTGGGGAGCAGGATGTGACTTTTAAAATCAGTGTGGCAAATAACAGCCTTATATGGTGGTTTAAACTTTTAAAATACAATGGTGCTGATCAGAACTATTTCCTCACTTACAGGCTTCTCTGATAAACTGGATTTCCTTGAGGGAGATCAGAAACCCCTGGCACAGGGCAAGAAGGCAGGAGCCAAAGGCCAGCAGATGAAGAAGGGGTGAGAAGTGTTTTGGTGTGGTGTCTTTGGTTCTGGGAGGTGCTGTGGGGCCATAGGTCACGAGGATGGCAGGCACAGCACCCCTACCGGCTCAGCTTTGAGTCCAGAGAATGCAGCTGCTGCCTGTGGCTGAGACTCCTAGCACTGTGTGTTGGGTAATTTTAGCCATGTCAGTCTTTAAGGAGTAAAAGAAGGCCCTTTTTAAATTTTTTTTTTTTTTTTTTTTTTTTTTTTT